CTGTGCTGAGACTAATGCCAAGGTCTGGGCTAGAGGACAGGGTCTTCCCCAAACCAGGGCAAACTGCCTCAGCCCTGCCCTCTGCCGTACATCCCCTCACCCCAGCTGGTGGCAGCAGGCAGATGAGCGCCTGGTCTGCTACCCCACACAGTAAACCAGCAGCGAAGAGCAGTTTGCACTGAAACACCAACACTAGCACCTGACATGGTTACAGGTCTCTTTTTTCACTCCACCACCACTTACTTGCTGGTGATAAAACTATGACAAAGGAATGGGGCAGTCAACTGGGACAGTAACAGCTTGGACGCAGCAAACACAAGAAAGACACCAGAGCGTGTGTGTCAGATATGGAGTGGCCTCAGAACAAATCACTGCCACAGCCCGAGTTTTTTGCTCTTTGGGCTTCTGACACTTGTCTAAAGCCAGTGTAAATCTCCCAAAAGCTGTTGACTAGAGTCAGCTTTTGGCCAGTGATCCTCAACAAAGTCCATGTAGAACGGGTGACCTATTGCAACCCTTTTTAGGAAGTCAAATATCTCTCCCATATATCGGAAATATTATGTAGATACTCCAAGAAAAATCATTAACATCTTCTTAGAGGCAGAAGTGAAAGTAGGAAACTGGGCAGCATCGTGCCCGGAGGTCTGCCTGCAGTCCATCCTCACAGTACCTGAATGTTTCTGTGCAAAATGACCATCAGTGACTACTACAGGAGTTATCACTAACCATTAGGGCCATCATAGCACATCGTGTGAATGAAGCTGGGCATCCTCCTCTGAGCTGCGTTGTCCAGATACCCACTGCGAGATCAGGCACTCTCCAAAACGTAGGAAGCAGAAAGCCAGGCTGAGATCCCTTCTCCCAGCTCTAGATTGGTGCTGTAAGAAAGAAAGGCCGCAGAGGCATAAAGAAAGCCCCAAAATATCCAGTGGCTACCCCTACTGCAAATGGTGTGAGGTGCAGCTGTGAGTACCCCAGTCATCCCCCAGCAGGCACTTGCAGGCCAGCCCCAAGCCGGGGGTGCAATGCAAGACTGGGCAATTCAACAGAGGCTGCTGGAGTACAGCTGATGAAAGGACGCTATTTGCTGCAGTGTGGGCTAGGTGCTGGGAGCAAAGCAGCCTTGCTGCATTTTGGATAGCAGTTCTGTCCCTTTTCTTACACTATTAGCTAAAGACATCTGCTCAGTAATGTCTTAAATCCCTCAGCATCACGTAATTTTTGTTGACTGGCCCTTTAGATAAGTAGATATTATTAAATATACTTAGAAATCTTGGATACAGTAACTAATAGCCACCTTTACGTAGAAAACTTCTTGATGATAATCCCACTGGAAATGACCAACCTGTTTTATCTGGAGGTAAGAGAACCAGTATTAAGCTTTTTCCTACTTCAGTGAAAAAAAAAAATACCCACGTCATTGCTATATTGTGAGCTGTGAGAGGAAAAAAGCTTATGTTTACAAATCGTATTTTGTGTGACATTTTAGCTGATTGTAAAGACTCTCTGTATACAGTCTGAGTCCTGTAAGCAGAACTCTGTGCAGAAGAGAACAGTCTGAGGTTGCTCGTCTACGTTTTTTTATTTCTATTATACGTGTAAGTGGCTAATAGCCTCAAAACAACCTCTTCGCATTCACAGCACTCTAAAAAGCTCAAAACCTTGAAAATGTGGTTCATATCCTCTCTCACTTCCACAGGTACTAACTAGGAGTAATGCTGCTGAATAAAGGAGGAAAGAAGCATCTCCCGCGTGCTCCTGCGGCTGCTCTGCCCAAACCGCCCTGCGGACACCACCACTCCCTGGGCATGTCACCTTTTACCAGGACCCACACCTCTGGCAGAAAGTCCTCCTCCCCCCGCAGCAGTCGGGCAGTAGCAGATTAAATGGCTCCCCATTTCCCTTTGCAGAGAAGCAAGCGCCTCTCCACAGCCAGGCTCCATCCACAGGACTTGATGTTCTCCTCAGGCATCAGTAAAGCTTGGGCTGTGAACACTCTTACCCGTACGAGACGTGTCCCGTGCTCTTACCCTGTGAAGTTGTATAATGGAACCACATACGGGGAGCACGTTGACATTGTTAAGGTTAATGATATAACAACAGAAAGCACATCTACAGGCAAATGGATTATAATAATTGCTCGAGCAAACAATACGAGCAACATATTGCAAATTGGCCTTCGGTGTGCTTTAGCAGCATTGTTGTCATCATCGCATTTTCACAACGAGCAGTACGCTGTTTCTGATCCTGGGGAACGTGATATTTTCCACAGAGACTCTCTGTACCTAACTTGACCACACATAAGACAAACATGCACCCTACAGCTTACTGTATACCCTAAGGCACCGTTGGGTGCCCCTCCGGCAGCTTTGTGGCATTCAGAGAAGGGGGTGATGCGGTTTCAGCATCGCATGTGTCTTGCCTTTGACTTCCCAGCCAAATGATCAACTATTGATTGCAGGTGTTTGGCAGCACGAGGCCTTCAGTGTGAACCCAGTGAGGCATTAACTGCTTTAGTGCCGTGCGCTGAAGGAGCATAGAAAATAAAAAGTAACTAAATCAAGAGATTCCCCTCCCCATCCGAAACCCAAGGGGGGCCGCTTCTTGATTTCTTTACTTGTTAGTCCTGTTCCTGGATCTTTTCAGTAGCGGTCACGACTTTTTAATGGTTTTGTGTGATGAAAGCCTTTGACAAGAGCATGTGTCACAGAAAGCGCAGTGGTGAGCCATGGCTTTCATATATATGTTAACCAGCCTTTATAGCATTACGGGGCCTGGGTGACACAACAGTAATTCAGTTAAGCTGCAGTGAAGTACACGGTTTCTGTGCTATACATCAGAAGACGGAGGAGCGTGGGACTGAAAGGTGAACAGCCAGAGAGCAGCAGCTCCATGGCGTCCCACAGCACACAGTTAATATGGAAATGCTGCTGTGCGAAACACGTGGGACACACTCTGCTGGGGACAGTGCTGCAGGGACCACTGCATTGGGAAAGCATACCGTGAAGAAAAGCCTTTCCAGCCAGACAAGTGTTTACGCACAACTTAATGCTGAAGTGAGAATTCAGGACAGCTTGAAGTGTTGAAGAATATCACGTTTCTGCTGCAGATAGCCAGATTTGCCCGCAAGCAAAATTCACTCAGAGACATATACAAAGTGAATTTGCTTTTCCCCTGATAATGTCGTCCCCCCCATATAAGAGAAATCCCTGGCGGGTGTAAATCTGCCTTTGAATGAGACTCATGCCTCTAAACTCCTTAGGAGCTTTTTTGAAAGTCTGACTTAAAAAGTCCTGGTTTCCACCAAGATAAGCTGTCTTAGTTAGAAAATGACAATAGACTCAGCATTTGTCCACATTTGCAGTCTCTGAGGAGAGCTACTGAATAAGTGCAAGTATTCTGCTTTGTTGTTTTTTTTAATTTAGTATTTTCTACAGAGGCTTAAAAAGTATCATCTACTATAACACAGAATCTTGAGATGAGCAGAACAGAATAATACAAAATCAAACATTTCTGAGGTTAACTTAGAGCCATTTATTGTATTTCTATTTCTAGGCTTCGATTAGAGTAACATAATTTGTAAAAAGCTGAACAGGTAATCAAATTGCAATCAGCAAATCTTCTTAAAAAAAAGAGACAGAGAGAGAAAAGATTTAAACAACAAGCTTTACAGATAGAAGAATAAAACTAAATTCACTTCTGCAGCCCCATGGGAAAATCTAGATGTAATCAATTCAGCGTAAAATTTAATTAAAAGACAGAGCAATGGGATGGGGGACAAAATTCAGGTATATAGGAAATCTTTGAGAAATACTCCTGTGAGAACACAGTAAGATCATTGTTATTCTGCTCATAGAGTTGAGTCATATACATGCATCATCCAACTTACGGGGAAAAAAATAGACTCATTTTCTCCCCCTACCCAAGTAACTCCCAGCTTAGAGGGGTTAAAAGACCGTAACAACTGCTTCATAGCATTCCAAATATTTCTGTGCCTATCCCCAAAATAGTAACTGGTTTATCAGTTCTGCTTTATCTAAATCTTAACTCCTCATTGGTCTGCCACATAATTTTGGTTGAAAATGACCTAGAAAATAAGCATAATAATAATTACAAAAGGGAGGGAGAAAGATAAGGGACACTCAGGGTTTTCTTTAACTAAAAACCAGTACTGAGCTCCCTCAGAAAGAAAACCTATTCAGTAAGGCACATAATTCATTATTAAAGACAATCTTGTAAACTCATAAGGAACATTAAGTTAATGTACACTACAAATAGCAAATTAGGTAAAACTGCATCAACTATTATATACTTATTATAATCAAAAGATTATACAGCTCCCTTAGAAAACACTTGGGAAATGCTAGCCACTGAAAGACGGTGTGAGGAAAAGACATGACACATAACAAAAATGGAAGAGTCTGCTGTAGCTCAGGAAGTGTTACATTTTTCTCTTCTCCCAAGTAACAAGCGATAAGACAAGAGAAAATGGCCTCAAGTTGCGCCAGGGGAGGTTTAGATCGGGTATTAGGAAAAATTTCTTCACCAAAAGGGTTGACAAGCATTGGAACAGGCTGCCCAGAGAAGTGGTGGAGTCACCATCCCTGGAGGTATTTAAAAGACGTGTAGATATGGTGCTTAGGGACATGGTTTAGTGATGGACTTGACAGTGCTAGGTTAATGGTTGGACTCGATGACCTTAAAGGTCTTTTCAAACCTAAATGATTCTATGATTCTATGATTTTATTTGAAAAGCATGCAAAAATCAAGCATAAAATGCCAAACATGGTTTATGATGGACTTGACAGTGCTAGGTTAATGGTTGGACTCGATGACCTTAAAGGTCTTTTCAAACCTAAATGATTCTATGATTCTATGATTTTATTTGAAAAGCATGCAAAAATCAAGCATAAAATGCCAAGAGATAAATTAATTAAATCCTTCATTGAAAACTGCAGATTATATACTGCATTTCATCTATTGGACTTTTTTTCTGCCAGGACACTGCAGCACATGATGGGCCAGATCCTCAGCCAGCGACAGTTGTTACCAACCCGTGACTCCGATCAGGTACCAGCACTGCCCAGGGGAATGCTGAGGGTGGACCGAACAACAACACGTAAACACCTCAACACCAAGGGCATGCAAACAGAAACAAAAGGCACCTGGCAGGTGGGTCAGATACCTCCAGCCATCTGGAAACAGCACACAGCACCTTCGTGGCCATGCAACAAGTCCAGACGAAGGGCAAGCAGAAAAATATAGTGTTTCAAACTTCCACCTGAGCAGAGAACATTTTGACAGGATAGTAAATATGCATTTTGGCACTCGTAGTAGTGAGAATATGCAGGAAGACTTTCACAAGGCTGGTCAGTTCTGCCAACTGTGTGAGGCCACTCACGGTGTGCTGCTCCCTGGGGACTCTTCCAGTGCAGAAACAAGTACAGCCAGTGGTCCCAGGCCGCTCCGTGGTGGGCTTTTGTGGTCACTGCCCAAAATATAAATAGCTCCTGTCCATCACTACCACTCCCTGCAGGCTACTAACTCCTCAGTGTACGACTTCCCTGCTCCTTCCCTGGTATATCTGTGCCTTTACACAGGGCTCCAGGTCACGCTGTAGCATGCAGCTGCGGGAGAGGGGAATTTGTGGGTGAGAACTACCCCCGTCCACATCAGACCTATTTTCCAGATAAATACAGGGCTGTCTAAAGAGGAACCACTAAGATTTTCAGATAAACTAAAAACCAAAACAAAAACCCAATGCTAATTTCAAAACAGCTTTACTGCTGTACACCTGTGACTCCTGCGCACGTACTGGAGTTCTGCACCTGTATGTTTAAAACTGGCCTGTGCCCTCATTGTACAAGGACAGGCAGCTCAGTGATGGGCTGTAGGGAAACCTTGAGGCTAGGTAGTGAGAAAAACACTGTCAGAAGGAGGAAGTAAAAGTGAAAAACAAGGAGAAATGTATCTTCCTAAACTCTCAGTGAGTTTCATGCTGCCCTCGTAACACTACGAGGTAAAACATTTCAGGCAGCAATGTAGTTGTCTAAGTTGACAGCATTCCTTCAAAACTCTGTGTTATGATGATAATGAAGAGTCTCCTGTTTGTGTTTTCTTGGCAGAGGTTTCCAACTTTCAGAAGGAAAATGAGAGAATTTGCAGGAGAGATGAAAAAGTCTCTCACTGATAGATGCAAGGAAGATGTCGTTCTGTTTTGTTTAAATGGCCTTCATAAAATGTTCATTGCCTATCAACTGATGTATTAATTATTTATAGGGGAAAACCAGCAGGCAGAGCTGCACCCAGTTTGACTGAGGGTGGGGAAATGTGCTGGCTTGTACCACCAAATGCAGAAATTGCCCGATGCACAAGAAGCTGTCCCAAATGCAACATCATTTTTAAGGGGAATTTTCCACATGAAAGGATGACACTGGTAAGAATAAATCCCATTCCTCTCTCAGAAAGTCCCATTTTCTCTGACTAAATGCGTATGCTAAAGGGCTTTTACTTCAGCTGAAACGGTGTATCACATTAACATGCTTTTTTAAAATTGTATTCTAACTTCTGGGAAAATAAAAATTAAAAACAAGTTAAAAGCACTCAAAAAGAAATGAACGGCAAAAACCCTAACAGCCAACAAGGGTTCTAATAAAAAGCAGAAGAAATACATATATAATGTAGATGTATACAATATTTGCTGGAAGCTAGCTGGAATTATGCACGTGCTGGAAGAGCCACAGTCAGTTTTTGCTTAAAATCAGGTTACAGTTCAGTGTGTCAGGGGTTAAACTGTGTGTTACAGAAACCTCCTAGGATTTTAGGCCTAAAAAGAAAAAAAACTCATGACACCAGCTATTTGTTAGAAGTTTTGCCAGAGTGGCAAAAAGTTCAGTTGAATAAAAAGTCGAGGTGTATGCTGTGTGCGTGCTGGATAAGCACTGCGTATTGCCCAAACCGAGATGTGTTTTGAAAGTTCACTCCCAAAGACAACACTGGGGATGGTGTTTTTTCCAACCTAAAAAATCCTTCTATTGATTTTCTCCCCTTTAAAGAAATCACATGCCTACCTCATTTCAAAGGAAACCGTCCATCCTGCAAAAGCTCTTGTTTTTCTGCTGTTGCTTTTCCCCGGGTCTCAGTAGGGGTGCAGCTACACACTTGAAATGTGTATACAGCAGGCCAGCACATTGCTCATCCAGTGTATAGTCAAAATCCCTGCAGGCAGGCAGGCTGGCCTTAGTGCTAACAGCAATTGCAGAAGAAGAGATTCAGAAGTGCTAATGAAAGCCCTGCTGAAGACACTGAAGAATTTTTCAGACACTGTAAGAAAGCAATCTGTAAGCAGGGGTATAATTACACATCAAGGTTCACATAGGAAGCCCTACCTAAGCTTCTGGCCTTCCTCTCCTCTTCACCCCAAAATCTTCCTATTTGTTTTTTTCCTTTCTTTCTTCTTCTTCTACACAAACTGTACTCTTGGCTCTTTGAGTAGATTTACAAGATCTACTCCTGACCTACTTTTCTATTGTTACTCCTGCAGCTCTCATCAAGAAACTTGGCAGAACCAAAAGGCTTAGTAGCAAGGCAGCGAAGTCCTCTAATGAGCTCCATCAGCGAGCAAACCTTCCCCAGCTTCACCCTGCCCTTGTTTCAGTCTCTTCGTCATTCAGGTCAGGAGCAAGCTCTCAAAGGAAGAAGCCTGATCTCCCTCATGGAGCAAAGACTCCGGAACCAAGCTCTTGAATTTAACCAGAATAGCAGCCCATGGAGGACCCTAGGAGCAAGCAAGGACATTTTGAACTTTTAGGGAAGAAACCAAACTCATTCGTCCTACTTGGAGACTTACAGCTTAGAGCAGAAACGTCTGATTTGGCGTACCGCTCTTGGAAGCTGATAACGTGACAAAACCTAACAATAAATGCAAAGATACAAATACAGTCAAGGACAAGAAAAAAGGACAATGTGGTTAACTTGGATATCACACTTGTCCAAAGAGGTAACAAAGAAAGTGACAGTGAAAATGAATAGTTTGGGGTTTCCTTCTGCTCATTTACTTTTTGCATCTGGCACAACTTTGTTGCTTTTCACTCTTTCAACTCTCAGCTGTTCTCCATCCCTATGCAAAGATACAAACACAGTCAAGGACAAGAAAAAAGGACAATGTGGTTAACTTGGATATCACACTTGTCCAAAGAGGTAACAAAGAAAGTGACAGTGAAAATGAATAGTTTGGGGTTTCCTTCTGCTCATTTACTTTTTGCATCTGGCACAACTTTGTTGCTTTTCACTCTTTCAACTCTCAGCTGTTCTCCATCCCTGTAAGATAACCCATACATCAGGTGCCCACGTGTGCATACAGCTCCCCCAGGGCTCTGACAGGCCTGTACACCAGCACAGAGAGGCACCCCATCAGTCAGCAGGCAGGATTTGCAGCGTGATTAATATGCTTCACCCTTGCTGAAAAGGTCCTTTACAAAGCTCCACCGACCTCTACCATTCTTAACTAATAAAGGGAAAAAAACCCTAAGAAACTGAAAGGAATTTTAACAAGAGAAGTCAGTGCATGCTCTTTTTTTACAGGGTGTTATACTAGAAATGGAAATCTTTTGCAACTTAAAAAGCGGCTAGACATGGAGCATAACCAACACCAACACTCCTCACATCGGGGAAGCTTCAATTCCAGATCTGGAGCTTTACATTATCTGTAGCCTTCACACATCCCGTTACGGCATCAGGGCTCCAGATGGTGCAACTACTGGCACAATATAAAGGAAAGTTTTTGGCTGTCTGGGCAAAGCTGATGTTTCCAGCTTCCCTAGTATTCTTGCTAGGTTACAACTATAAGTACTGTTCAAGAAGAGAAGCCCTTTATTATGTAGAGTACAGCACAGTTTATTTTCTTCAAGCAAGTGCAGAATATGTGAATTATTCTGCTGTAGAAGCTAAAGTACATTTTTTTCCATGGTATGAGTAGACTCACTGACAACATGAGCTGCACTCTGTCCCTAAATTATGCTAATATGTATCTCGACCCTGATGCACAGGGAGTACCTCTCAGTGATGCACAGATTTTTTTGGCCAGAAGGGTCTGTTATGATAATTTAGCTTGGTCTCCTGAACAGCGCTGGCAATGTCAATTCAAGAATACCAGCAGAGGAACCGAGTAATTTTGTTTGTGACGGCAGTGGTCATTTGCAGAATGCCACCTCTTGCCTACTAACAACTTCAGAACGGCAGCCCCCCTTCTCTGGGGCCAAGCCCTTCAGCCCTCCTTTCTCTGGGGCCAAGAACAGCCTTTGGATACCAGCGATGGAGTTACGGAGCCACACGCGAACCCGAGAACGACAGCTGAAACTCTCTGTATGTAGTTACTGGTTCCCTGTGTGATTCAATATGTTAGTGACAGAAAATCACAATCAGTGTGTTTTCTCTTAGCTGGCTTTAAGTACTTGCAAACTGTGATTTCCTATTCTAGAAAGAACACATATTCATGGAGCTGTTAAGCTGATAGCCTCACTTATTTAAGCTAATACTGTCTCCTTTTTGCCTGTGTGATTTCACAGGAGTTTCCAACACACTTCACCACATCTATGCAAATATCCTGCCACAAATTATACTGTTGATATATCCTCCAGCTTGCAGATCAGATAAGATCACAGCACATTGTTTAAAGATCTGCCTTTTATACAATCAGAGACTGTGTCAAACAGCAGTACATAACAAAGCAAAGTCTTTGTTTATAAAAGAAAAAAAATAACCCCCCACTGGAGATCTTGTTGTGTACATGGGAAATTATAGGAGTAAAATTAGACCAGTATAGTTTAATAATTAAAGTTATACTCCCAGGGCTGACATTTTTCTTGAACGATACACTTTTTCCTGACCCTTCTCTTCTTTTTTCACAGGGATTTAAGATAGAGTATTTTATTTCATGTTGGGTCAGTTAAGGGTGTAGACATGGTCACTGAGAGACGCAAGGTTCATCAGTGCTCCTCGAGGTATCAGCATCCATCAGCTGTCTACGCTTGTTCAGATGCTCAGGGTTGAGCTAATCACCAGATTTGGAACCAGGAAGCAATCCTCTTCCAGATTAGCTCATCAGAGACTGCTGGTTTTTGTTTGTCTTCCTCTGCAGCATAGTGCATGGTCTGGAAGTGTCTGCAAATGTC